TAAAGGGGGGGGGGGGAGTTTATGCTTTTCTCCATAATCTGTTTATGATTTTTATGCCCTGTGCAATTGCATCAGAAGGCCACCAGGTGGCGGTACTTCCTCAAGTGCCACCTTATACAGGCATTTGTCTAATACCTGCATATTCAGGGCTGCAATCTGGTACCCCATCTACTGTCTGGGTCCAATAAGAAAGATGACCAAACATACTTTACTGCTCATCCAAATCATATGGCCAAGCTTTGGTTGGATCATAATATCAATTATTCTTAATATTCTTAGGTATAGGAACATATATATACGTAGATTAAAATGCAAACATTTAAAAAAGCCTTTCTGCTTGTTGCACAAGTGAGAAATCAGTGGTCCCCAAGATGTTGCTGAATTAAAAATTCCACATCCCCACGCCACTTGGCCAATGGCGAGGTAGTGAATGTTGTAGTTCAGAAACATCTGAAAGACCACAAGTTCCTTTTCCTAGCTGTAGTAGTTTACTTTTGGGTGGGGCAGACTGCCCAGCTGGTTCCTTTTTTTGCTTTTTTTCCTATATCTTTTAATAAACTAGCTAATCGTATGTAATACATCCATGTAACTGCTGCTGCAGAAAATTCCATCCTTTTCTCTGTCTGAAGGATTTATTTTGGAGACTCTTTAACTTCCTAAGGGCACCTGTCCGAATAGGACTCCAAAAGCACAGGGAAAGGACTGTAGATGTATATTCAAAGGATCAGGAAACGGAATGGCAGAACTCCATGTTACTGTACACTAGCCAAATCTAGGCACATGACCTCACCCAAGAGGAAACGTTCCACCTCTGGCAATTTTCTTGCCAGTTCTAAATTAAATTATGTTCTTGCTAGACTGAATTTTGACCACATGTTTAACCTGTTCCAGCAGAAACAGGTTCTGATTCTATAATTTTTTAAATTCAGTTTTGGAAGTGGTTGCATCACGTTTTGGAACATAAGACCTGATGAATTAAAAAGTCATTAAAAATTCATTATCTATTCATTGATCAATTAACACTTGTTCAAAATAAAAGCTTGCTTTATCTAAAATTTCAAACTGCTGCTAATTTACTTCTCCTTCTCCGTGTTCATGTAGCCTCATGAGTTTCACATATCTTTGGCAGGTGAATTGAATGGAATCAGCATGCTTAAATATGGCAGATCATACTTTTATTTTGGATTTATGAGTGTGTGAGGTACCAGTAATACTTTTCATTCATTTTATTCAGTGATCCTACCAACATGTAGAGGGTATTTATTTGTGAATTGGAAATGATCTTCCCTAAACAAGTTTGTGTAGGGAACTACATGTTATGTTTCCATGTGTAATATAATAAGGAATACCATCATCTCAGAAGGGTTGATAATATTGAGCCCCAAACCTATAACTGCTATAATGTATCAGTAGTCCTACCTATGGAAGCTAAATCACTAAAACGTGAGCACATTGCAAATGTGTGAAATACAACAAAATAAATTTGGTAATACTGATACAGCAGAAATAGTAACACATTTTCAAATGTGCCTTTTCTGTACACACTGTGTTCTCTAGTATACAAATCTAAACAAATTTCTCAAAGAAAAAGTATACAAGTTAACCACAGGTACATACATAGAAAAAAAAATAATTCTATTCCTTCTAAAGTAGTTGCATTTCTAATTCTGATGGTCCATCCACAGTGGCCTTCTATAGACAGTCTGTTTAACCGAGCACAATCAGCTTAACAGATGTGCAGCGCAAAAGTAGGTTGCACTCAGTACAGTGGGTCTTATTCCTTAATTAGAAATCTAGATTTTTCAGCTTTTTAAATTAACTTCAGCATGTACAGTCCAAAGAGTTTGAATTGCATTAATGATAAGTAAAGTTGAACTTTTAACCATGCAAGAAGAGGCATTACTGTAATTAAATCAAAGAGTTTATTAATAGATGGATGGCCAATTTGTGGCATAGATACCACAAGAGATATATTATGAAGAGATTTTGAACATCAGCAATAGTTTAACATGGTGTGTAAAGCCTGTAGAATCTAATTTTTTTAAAAAAGGTCAGAAGAGGTCAAAATAACAGAATTTCCTATATAGAATATCCTTACACAGTTAAGTTATTTTCAGTTTTATTCAACCAATGTTTGGAAAATTCAAGGCAAGAGTATTTTGGGAAAAGACAGCAACAAAGATGATGATGGGCTTAGAGGCTAAATCCAATGAAGAACAGTAAAGGAACTGGGTATGTTTAGCTTAAAGAAGAGAAGGCTAAGGTGAAATATGATACCACTCATTTATTTATTTATTTATTTATTCATTCATTCATTCATTCATTCATTTATTCAATTTGTATAGCCACTGATCTCAAACCAGTAACTCTGAGCAGTGAACAATCATAAAAACAAACAGTTAAAACACAATAAAAAAATTAATTAAATACAAATAGCAGCCAAGAGATATTATAATCCATCAGTGTCAATATAACCAGGAAATGGGGCCCTTAACACACACAGGACCCCAGGCCCAGGCACATAGCCAGGTCTTCAAGGCCTCCCAAAAGGTCAGCAGGTCTGGGGCCGTCCTAATCTCAGGAGGGAGGATGTTCCAAAGAGCAGGTGCTATGGCAGAAAAGGCACGTCTCCTATGTCAGGTTCGGTCAGCACGGGGCTTCGGGGAAGCTCTCAGCCACACCACGCGAACTCC